GGTTGTTTTAAAAAGCAGGCTTATAGGTGTTCTAAGCTCATGTTTTATCCTGAAGTACCCCTCAACACAGAAAACAAATTAATAGCACAAAAGACACCAGTTTAAAACTAGCCTTAGAATTCTTTTTCACATTAATCAAAACTTTACAGAGGAGATAAACACTGATTTTTAAAAATCATTCATTTAACTGTTTGCACAGAGACAGAGAAGTCAGAAATCTGACTGCTAGAAAATTCTTACACTTTTGCCGGCATGCCAGGCTTCTGGGTTCCCTTTCCCTAAGCAGCCCTAGTGATCCAGCTTGTGGCATCATTGACCTGAGAGCTAACCCACATCATAAAGGAAAATTATTATTAATTCTGGGCAAAGCAAAATACATGTGATAAAACATAGACATTAGCCACTCTGATTAGCACCCAATATCAAACTGGCAGAGCTCAAATTTGGCCCCAGATGGGCCCTGTCATCTTTAATCCAGCCTCCGACTTGGTCAAAATGGTCTCTGGGCAAGATGGTCACCCTGAGCAATAGAAATGATGAGAAAGGGAAACAAGAGAGGGAGAAAAGCATTTCCTGTGGCAGGGTCGGGGAGGCAAAATGGTCAGGAAGGCCAGCGAAAGACCTGCCCATTACAGTGACATTGAAAAGTTCAGGCGGCTGCTTCTTGGTAGCAAAGGGATCATTTCCAGTAATCCTGTAAGCTCTCAAGTTTCCCTTTTCAGGAAAAACAAAGCACCCTATATCCCACAATCCTCTACATGCCTAATCCTGTCACCCACAGCCTTCAGCAAAGAGTGCAAGGCAGATTAATCCAGAGAATAGCAGCTAACATCCCATCGTGCCAAACCTGTTCTTAGCTGAGACAGACTTTATGGAGAGGGGGCTCTAATCCTCTAAAGCTGAGAAGGGACTGTAACCCTCCTAAATTGGCCCCATAATCCACGGTCGGTCAAGCATCCTTGCCTTTTATTAAGAGGGGCCTCTAACCTACTTTGTCTGAGGAGAGACTCTAACCCAATCCCATTCTTTACCCAGCTACCCCACCACTCACCCAAAGTCATCCAATCCGTGCTGCAGTCTGTTTCCTTTGGGGTGGGGTGTTTCTTCGGTATCGTCCTTTCTATAGTTCACCAGAAATATGTTACAGTTCCCCAATACTTACCCAAAGGTAGCTGTTGGGTCAGGGGTTCTGCACTATAGTCCCTTCTGTGGCTGCCAGAAATATGTTACAGGAAAGAGGTCTAGATCCAGACCCCAAGAGAGGGTTCTTGGATCTCACACAAGAAAGAATTCAGGTCAACTTTGCAGTGCAAAGTGAAAGCAAGTTTATTAAGAAAGGAAAGGAATAAAAGAAGGGCTACTGCATAGACAGAGCAGCCCTGAGAGCTGCTGGTTGCCCATTTGTATGGTTATTTCTTGATGATATGCTAAACAAGGGGTGGATTATTCATGTCTCCCCCTTTTAGACCTTTCTGACATTGCCATGGCTTTCGTAAACTGTCATGGTGCTGATGGAAGTGTAGTAGCGAGGACGACCAGAGGTCACTCTCGTTGCTATCTTGGTTTTGGTAGGATGTAGCTGGCTTCTTTACTGCAACCTGTTTTATCAGCAAGGGCTTTATGACCTGTATCTTGTGCCAACCTCCTGTCTCATCCTGTGACTTAGAATGCCTTAACTGTATGGGAATGCAGCCTAGTAGGTTTTAACCTCATTTTACCCAGCTTCTATTCAAGATGGCGTTGTTCTGGTTCACATGCCTCTGACACCATAGCTCTTCCAAAGACAATCTATTGCTCATTTTAATGAATAGTCTACTTTGTTAATATTCTGTTGCAAAAGGGAAAAATAATCAACTCTGAAAACAAAAGTCACTTTTAACCTAAATATTGTCTTCTAAAATATAATTTTTTTTTGTTTTTAACTATGAAATATTCATTAGGAAACCCAGCTACAATAAATTGGATCTGACATTTAAGGCAGAATACATGGAAACTGAGACCAGTGGGCCAGGTGTGAAAGTCATCTTGAATGATAATTTTCCTCCGTCACTTAAAAACAAGTTCTGCCTTGTCTAAGACAGTGATTATCATTTCGTTTCCAGAGTAAATAACAAAATACTTATATTTTGATGGCAAGAACATTGTGTAATGCACATGGTCTATCTAAGGTTGGGGAAGGAAGGTGCTTGCCAGTGGGGTCATGTTGGTTGCTCTATTTTAGCATTTAGTTTTAGCTTGTCACTTTGTGGTATCTGGATATAAGTAGATACCATTAATCAAAATAATAAATCAATTAGTGTCATATGTTAAGTGAAACAAAAAAGAAAGGTGTACTCATAATGTAATAAAATCCTCTTTTGACATACCAATAAACAGAGAATAATGCAAATATGAATATTTCATTTGCAACAGAAATCCTGAGAAACACTATTAAAAGGAAATAATAAGACTATTACCAAAATGAATAGAAAACAATGAAAGTCCTACATGGTAAATGGATTGAAACAGAGCAGTCTATTTTTCCATTAAGATATTCAGTGTAATGTTTGTGTATGTGGGTATGTACTTAAATTTTTTTGTTGTTTTTCTAGAGCTAATTTCATTTTCAACTTGGGAGAAATATTAACCCTAATTAGTGCTTAAAATATCTTCAGGTTTGTGCTGAAATATTTTCTTAATTCTGTCTGGAAACCTACCAAACTGCCCAGGTGAACACTTTAGACAGGAGTGGAAAATGAAAAAAGAAAATTGTTTTTGCAGAGGATTTAAGCAACAATAAACTGTAGGAAGACAGATGTTTAGTAGGGATAAAGAGAGCTAGTATTTCCTCTGCCCTTGCTATGTGCCAGGCTAAACTATGCTAAACTCATGTCCTTTTATTTAATTTCTACAATGAGCCTAAGATACAAGCACTGTCATTATCCCATTTCACAGATGAGGTTTAGAGGAATTAAATGAGGTGCTGCAGGTTACAAAGGTTGTAAGGGATAGTTGTGAACCCAGACTCATATCCTCTTGAACCTGATCTTTTTTGCTGCCCCATCATACCACTTTTTTCATTGTATTGCAATTATCCCTTTACACACCCACCTCCCACACTTCCTGTTAGCCCCCCTGTGGCAAACACAGTGTCTTACTTATCCTTGTAGTTCTGAGGATTTGGCATAGTGATGTGATATATTATGGAAGCTCAGTAAGTGCCTTTGGAATGACTAATGTATTGTCCAAAGTCACGAAAGGTTTATATGTTCAAGAAAATGTTGCCTTATGATGGAAATAACTGATGTGAAAACAGTGTCAATTACTTTTAAAGCTGTATTAGGCATTCCTTTTCTCAAAGATCAGATTTTTCAGAAAGGTGAGTGAGAGATTGCTGCTGCCTATAGGAATTTGAGGGCGTATGAAAAAAAACCCAGAGATGATTAAATAATGTGAAATATATGTACAGTATTAAGAAAGGTTAAGAGAAGGAATACTGAAAGCACAATTTAATTAATGGTTTTTACATTCATAATGGGCTTGTCTTGTCTACAGGGAAGCAACCTGTTTTTCATTGATATCACTATCAATAGTCAGGGGACATTTTCAAGCCTTAGGAAATTTTTTAAAGCTTAAAATGCAATTAGTAGAGGAAAGAAAACTATTTTATATTAAAACATTATGCAGTATAAACTTAATGGGGAAAATCAATTTAGCTTCAGCTTTGAGGGATTGAAATCTGATCAAAGAAAACCATTTCTGGTTATAGGGAATAGTTTACAAAGTGGGTTTGAGGAGCATTCTAGATGAGTTTGCACTTACATCTTTAAAATGGGTGGTATTAACTTCCACAATCACATCTTGCTCCACGATATTCTGATTAAATGTGACGATAATATCTATTTTAATTTGGGTTTGTAATCACCCTGTCAGAAAGCTGCAGCCAGTAAAAGCTCTCTACTCCTTGCTGTATAAGCATACTTCCACCATTTGTTTCCTTTTCTAAAGGATGCTACACGTTGAATTCTGCTACTGCCTGCAGCAGTCTTCAGAAGTCAAAGACCAGAATGAGCAAGGACTGCCATACAAAATAATGTATCCGCCCTGCCAGCACTGACATTTCCAATTGCCGAGCCTTACAGAAGGCTGGTGAATGCCCTTGTCCCTCCCTGGATATGAATTTATTTGTAAAAAAAAAAAAAAATCCTTCACAGTGAAGAAAATACATCAAGAGTGGAGTTATGTCTACCAGTGCCAGTATGTCAAGTTGCCGGGGTGCTTTTGTTGATTTTGTTTTCTTACAGCTGCCTAGCGTGAATACACCTCCAATGTGAAATTTTGATTTAGTTATAAAAAATTCTGAAACATCTAAATTAAAATGAATGTTCACTCCCTATTTTACTTGATTCTGTGATGAAATGATCTTAACTTTTTTCTGAGACTTTTCATGATCACCTCAAAAAGGTTTTTTGTTTGTTTGCTTATTTGTTTTTGAGACACGGTCTCCCTCTGTCACCCAGGCTGGAATACAGTGGCACAACCTTGGCTCACTGCAATCTCTGCCTCCTGGGATAAGGTGATTCTCCCACCTAAACCTCCCGAATAGCTGGAACTACAGGTGTGCACCACCATGGCCAGCTAATTTTTTGTTTTTGTCTTTTTAGTAGACAGGGTTTCACCATATTGCCCAGGCTGGTCTCAAACTACTGAGCTCAAGGGATACACCTGTCTTGGCCTCCCAAAGTGCTGGAATTACAGGCGGTGAGCAACTGTGCCCGGCCAAGGCTGTGCTCCTTCTAAGGGGAGTTACATACTCTTCTCAAAGCATTTACTACATGGTTCTGCATTGTCATGTTCCATATGCTCATCAGTCCATCTCAGCAGATTATTACCTCCTTCAGAGCAGAGCTGTGTTTTGTTACCTTTGCCTTCCCAGTATCTAGCAGGGTGTGTAGCAGGCATAGTCATGGTCAATAAATACTTTTTGGATGATTTTTTTCTGAAGTGGCCCCTTTCTCTTTCCTTCTGACTTATTCATCTCTCACCTTCTTTAGGTCCTCTCCATTTGTCCCAAGGACATGAGAGCTGATATCTGTGTTCATCTAAACCGGAAGGTTTTTAATGAACATCCTGCTTTTCGATTGGCCAGCGATGGGTGTCTGCGCGCCTTGGCAGTAGAGTTCCAAACCATTCACTGTGCTCCTGGGGACCTCATTTACCATGCTGGAGAAAGTGTGGATGCCCTCTGCTTTGTGGTGTCGGGATCCTTGGAAGTCATCCAGGATGATGAGGTGGTGGCTATTTTAGGTACTGTGAACTTTCCTAATGTAGTAGCAAATGCGTAATAACAGCTTTAGGTATTTTGCTTCTCAGATTTTTAAAGAGAAATTTCCTTTGTTTGGTAACTTTGGAAATTGGGTCACTAATGAGATGTGAATTTTAATGAAAACTAATAATGCTGTTTCAGCAGAGAACATTAGTATCAGTCACAGCCTAATGAGCTGAGTAGGGGTTTGATTAAACTTTCTTTGGCAACAGTAGGACAGTACCTTCTAGACTAAAGGTGGTTACAGCCTAAGGTGCCTTGTAGCTCCGTGTGAGTAAGTATGAAAATGGCTTGTGGAATGATTATCATGGTAGTGACATAAGGTGTTAGTCTCAGAAGGGTGATAGAACCTCTCTAGCTCAACCCTTTTCTTTAGAGAGGAACCAAGTGAGGCCCAGAAAAGCTTAGTGATTTTCCCAGTTAGTTAGTAAATGAATGGAGGCTTGAATATAGATGATTTTACTCCAAAACTTTCTCCTTCATCACAGTCAACCTAAATAGTGAGCTGAAAGTGCAGAGGAGGTTAATAAGTCTGACCTTTTATAGTGGAGTGATCACAATATGAGTAAATTAAACTTAGGTTTATAAAGCTGGTTCTGTCCACCTATATTCAAAAGCCATACAAATTATTTGGCTAATAATAAATTCATTTTAAAATTCAGAGAATTTTAGAATTTAGAATTCAGTAGATAGTTCTGCTAACCACAACCACAATAAAAAGGCAGTAACCGTATATGTAAGTGAGAAAATAAAAAAATGTTGCATATTTGGGGACGGTGTAGGATATATTGCTTGGCAAAACAATTGCCAAATGACCTTTTAGATCATTTTCTGCTCAAAGATCTGCAGCAGGTTCATGATATCCACAGATATAAAAGGAAGTAATAAAATAAGGTCAGAGGAGAATCACTCCTTGTTTTTTTTTTTATCAGGTAAAATAAGTCAGAATTGCAGGATGTCGACTTCATTTTGATCACATTTTTCACGGCTTGTGTCTCATGAAAAATGAGCTCAATTTTTAAACTATTGGATTTTCAGCTACCGAGGTCAACCTACCATAGCATGAATGCCACTTATTCTCAAAAGTAGGCGATTAACTAATAGATTTTAAAAACTACAAAAACACAATCCACCACAATAATGAAAAATTGACTTCAAAAAGCACCATTACTTGAAAAATATAGAATTGAGATTGGAAAAGAAATAACTCTTCATAGGAAAACAGGTTCTGTAAAAATCGTGAGTTCTAGAAAATGGCTCAGGGCTGCAAATGACTGAATACCATGGTTTGTAAGCCTTTCGTTAACTGTATATAAACAATAGCGTTATAGTTAGATTTCTTCTAGGAACTATTTTAATTTTTTTTCAAGAAGAAAATACAACACTTTAAAGTCAGCGTTCTGGTTATGTTTAATGCTCATTAGTGCTTATTCTGCTTTGTTTACTGGAGGATAAAGCAGTTAAATATAACCCTTCATAAAAAGTGTACATTTCACCAGAACAATCCTTTGTGGTAAAATGAAGCATATTCACACTGTAACCATTCTTGTTTGCATAGAGAAGAGAATAAAATACAAGGCCAAAGCAGATTTATTTTATTTTCCTGAATGTCCATGTCAATGGTGGGTAGGAAAAAAATATCAAATATATTACCTGAAAATGAGTACCCTCATGATAAATGACCTCAGCTGTAGAGTCATTATCATTTGCTTTGTTCCATTTTCTTCATTACAACTTCACTTGGGTAACTCTTTTCTGAAAGAAGGCTGGCGAAAGTCCTGGGTACAATGTGCCTCTGGCCTGAGTCTGCTAAAATGGAACAATTTGCTCAGTGAGACAGACAAAATGCATTTTCCTTTCATTTTAAAATAAAATGGTAACTTGTTTTGCCCAGTGACACAGTAAAAATGAACACAGGACCCCTGGGTATTGGACCCATCTCATCATATATCTGTCACATTTTATTATTTTGAGTGTGGGCTTTTTGTTCTCGCTCCTCAAAAATCTTGGGATTCAGAAACTTTTCACATCTTGTGCTTAATGACTCAAATTATATGGACAATTCTCTGGGTACCTTTATTTCTTTTTCTCTACAGGACTCTGAAAAAGACTAGTTCATTCAAAAGTCCACCAGATCAAGATTTTTTGTTTGTTTGTTTAACATACAAAATGCTTTAATGATGTTTGAAGAAAGGAGGATTAAAATAGTAACTTACCAGCACCATTTTTTCCTCGATTCTTCTCTTCATCCTCTTCTTTACCTCTTTCTTCACCTCCTCTTCCCTTTCTTCTTCTCATTTTTGATAGTTTAATTTTGAAATAACTGCATGCTTAATGAAAAGTTACAAAAGTTATCAGGATGTGAATGGATTATATTAATATATTTAATATTTAATATATATAATTAATATAATATAAATATATTTAATTATTAATATATATTTAATCTTTAATATATATCATCCCTTCACATCCTGATATATATATGTGTGTATATATAAGTTATGTGTGTGTGTGTGTGTGTGTGTGTATGTGTGTGTATATAAAGATATATATGTATGTCTTTAATTTCTGTTTTATTAAGTTGATTTGGTCTGTATAACTTTAAGTGCTTTTTAAAAATCTTTTTGATTTGTCCTGGCACTGAAAGTGGCAGGCTAATGTATCTTATTATTCATGTGTTTTATCTATGTCTCCTCGCATCTCTTGTAGTTATAACATTTGCTGCTGTGTTATTTGGTGTACAGATATTTATGATTGTTATGTCTTAATTTTCAACTGTGGCCTTTGGCATTGAAATATGGCAAAAGCTGTCATGTTTAATGCTCTTTGCCTTGCAAGGGTCAGAGAGGAATAAAATCCCTACATTCTTCACATCTGAGGATACCTCATAAAAATGGGAACTTGCCTAAATTAGTCTGATAGGAGAAATAAGAAGGCCTTGCTATCTCTTACACTGATTCATTTGCCAGCTAAAAGGTAGGGAAGGGAGGTTATTTTAAAATTAATTAGAATCTTTGAATCCAAAATCAGGTGCAGTTTCTTCTTTTTGGATTCTTGCCACTAAACAGTTTCTTGATAGGTACATAATTCTTTGGTGTGTCAAAAGTGCTAAGGAGTTTAATGAATAAGTTCTGAAGCATAACTAATTAATGGAAAGATAAAAAAGTCAGTCAACAAATAACCTCCTTTAACACCGGAGGATGGCTTCAAGATGTTTTTCTAAATAGGGCATATGGATGTAATTGCAGTTCATGTCTTTTTTCAATTTGAAGTTCTTTCAGTTCCTACACCTCCACCTTTTTTTGACCTTCCCACATTTTATAAAAAACAAAGAATTCCAAATTAAGTTGATGATGCATACATAATATTTTATATTCTTTAAAGACTTATTCCTTTTTAGTTTCTACCCTGTAATTAATGTGAACAGATTTATTGGTATGACTGAAATAGCCAGGTTACTTCTCAGTGTCTTGACAAGTATATTGTGCCTTTCAGAGGCTATAAAAATGACATTTCCCTGCCAATAATAGACCCTGCTCCTAACACATTTGTTTTGTTGTATTTTCATTTTGTCTTTTCTCATCTGTGTTCATTGATTATTAGAATCATACGGTTAGAGTTATTAAACTAAGACAATCTCTAAGTCTTTTAATTGTAACTTCAGATTCTCAAGAGTGCTATGCTTGTTTACGTATGGTTTGGATGGAGTGTTGAAAATTGTTATGGGGTTGGGAAAAACAGCATAAATGAGGACAGAAATAACATAACTAAATCAATACGAGAATCTTTAGCACTTGAATTAAGATTCTATTTTAATTAGAATCAGTTATTTAAAATCCACTGTAGGCTGGGCATAGTGGCTCATGCCTGTAATCCTAGCCCTTTGAGAGGACGAGATGGGTGAATGATTTGAGGTCAGGAGTTAGAGACCAGTCTGGCCAAATCGGTGAAATACCATCTCTACTAAAAATACAAAAATTAGCTGGGTTTGGTGTCATGCACCTGTAATCCCAGCTACTTGGGAGGCTGAGGCATAAGTATCAGTTGAACCAAGGAGGCAGAGGTTGCAGGTGAGCTGAGATCATGCCAGCCTGAGCGACAGAGTGAGACTCTGTCTCAAAAAAACAAAGTGCATTGTAAACATATTATTAAAGAAAATTTATACATTATGCTGCTTGAAATTAAAAATCTCCTTATTTTATTATGGAAAGAAAAAATCTGAGATGTGAATGAATAATATTTTGCTATTTTGAGAATCTATGAAAACGTGACTTTTAAGCTGTAGTTAGTATTTCTTCCTCTGCACTTGCTATTAGAAGTCAAGCGCTTCACAGTTTAAATCCTTAAAAGGGCTTTTCCCGAGTTCCTGAAAATTATTTTCTTTTATACCCATGCTTCTGTGTTTTTAGATGCTGAACTGTGAAACATGTAGATTTGTTCTACATATTATGATGATGAAATGAGTTAATTCAGATACTTTCACAGAGGGCAAATCAGTTGTTTGCTTTTAAAAACATGTGTGCTTGTCTTGATTTAAACATTTGAAGCAGTGATTATAACATTGTTTATCTGTGGTTCAAAATGTTTACTTTTAGAGATCCTCAGCCTGCAGGTTTTGGGATAAAATAAAGGTTTTAACAATCTTGGTAGTTTAGGTTCAACCTCAAACCCTCTCTACTACCCTTCAAAACTGAGTTTTGTTTATTCTATGGTATCTTTTGTTCCTATTCTTAATATCCCTTACCACAATCAATGCTCTTAAAATTTTTACCCTGGGTGTGAAAGGAAAATACCTTGGAACCCCAAAATCACTAAGGAAAACTCATCTGCCCCCCGCCCCCACACCCAGCACCGTTCCATTCAAAGTTACTGAGATAGATGCATATCTGAATTGCTTCCTTTGGAAAGGCTAATCAGAAACTCAGAAGAATGCAGCCATTTTTATATCACCTGTCTGTGACCTGAAAGCTCCCTCCCC